AAGAAATAAAACACGATACATAGTTGAGACTTTGTTGCATAGCGAATAATAGCGAATGTATGAAACGAACGATGCTCTATCCAGGATGTCAAGTTTCTAATGATCCTGTAATTCCTTCCTTATTGCATTCGGAAGTAGATTAATTGTAATTTCATATTTTCATTACGCGTTACACGGTTGATTCGATCAGTCAAATTGTAAATCAGGAAACCAAAGGAGAAATGGTACGCTATATGAAAATCGATTGGCTCGGCTCCATGCCGCGGCGTAACGATGGTAGAATAGATGCAATGTTTCCTTCGTGAAATCACCTCGACAAATCATTTCACTTCGTGCAAGGATCTCAGATTTCCTTTCCATTGCCTTTCATACGCCAGACGTGCTTTTGACTTCTCCTACTTTTATTCTATCCTCAACTAGAAACGTCTGGACAATTTGTCCCTTATAGATTGTACAGACTGATCAAAATAACTAGAAATGTACAGTTTTAATTAAACGCGAAATGGACATGTAACATCTACAATTAATACTTAACCGGTATTTGTGATTAATACCTGATAGTATGCTAAATCTCTTGAATAAACTGCTGATCCTCTAACACAGTTTTTTCTATATATTATAATTGACATTCTACTACAGTACAGTTTAATCTATGTATTTTTTCTCTATATTCAAAATTAGAAATAACTTTTGCAAAAAAAATTAATTCTGTTCCCTTATTATCTTTTCCGTTTAAACCGATCCGATAGTGGCTCGGTTAAAGAAATACGTACAAATTATATTAGTCTTCAGTTATTGAAAAAATACATATTCTTACTGCAATACGCGCTAGAACTTGTGCAAAACGCTACACGTTTAACTGCTCTACTTTTAAATTATGTGAAGATTAGATAAGAAATATAGAGATCGAAAGCAGAGTAAATAGCATACGCATTGTAAACTGTTCCTTTTTTCTCCCCCTTTTTTTTTTTTTTTAGAACGACAGACTTAAAAATTTAAGAGAATAGCAAGTGTGCCACCGTTAGAATGATCCGAGTGGTTCGCAGAATTTGATGACATTATGTTAATCGGACCTACGAAAGCATAACTGGAACTAACAATGAATTGCACCTCGAATAGGGTTAATCTGGTTTACGGAACCGTGCACTGTTATTTGAAGAAAATCGAGAAAATACCAGGAAATGTAGGATAATGGGTCTTTTAAGAACACAAAATATAAGCTTATTCTTTTGTTGATTCAATGCATATAGATATAAATTATTTCTAGCCTGAATTATTACTTAAAAGAAGGAATGTATCGCGTATATCAACGTCGTTAAAATACAATGAAGCAATAAAGATAAACGACCAGAATCAAGCACAAAGTGGCAGTCTTTATTTATTACTGAAAATGCATGTAGAAGTTTGTGGAATATTGTGTTCCTATTGTGTGTTGTATAAAACATCTTGAAATTTCAGTAGTACTGTGACGAAAATATTGGCAACACTTGAAATCAATTGGAAATTAAATATAGAAATTACAGAATATTTACTGTGAACATATGTTCGATAAAAAATTAGGATACAGCAAGAATAGATATCATAAGAATATATTAAATGTTAAAAATGCTTCTACTGAATATTACGGTCTATTAATACAATAGTGTTTAAGCAGCATTTTCTGTGATCTATGCGATACTTGCACTAAATATCTCGTAGTTTCTATGTACATTCTTAGATTTTTCTGCAACATGAGTATCGAGTCTCGTTACAGCGCTAATCGAATTTCAAAATGTTTCGTATAAAACACGTAATATATTCGCAAAAGCCTTCTATAGATGTTCGAATACTTTCGTGAGCCACTATAGGTACACGCCAGCGACTGGCTGTTCCAGCGTTCAAAAATCAGTGAAAAATTAAGGAAATAATTTTTACTACACATCAACTTTCATTTGCACAATTTCTTTCTACGAACTTTTATTTTCTAATCCCAAATACACCGCTAACCAATTTCGAAGGAAAAAAATTCCCGTCACAGACCAACAATCGCCTCTTAAAGTTCACTCGTCTGTGTCGTTCGGCTCGGTTAATAAGAGTAAAGACGATCTACCGGTTGAAACTGTTTCCGACGATGCGGCGTTCTACCCAGAGTATCGGCAACATTCAACGAATGCAAACCGACCACAATAACGATACCGTTACCAATTTTTTAACGCGGTTAGCACGCGAATAGGTTTACCGAGGAGAGCCGCACGATGCGCCACAATCTTCCACTCGATAGTCATGCCACTCCGCGCAGTTATACACTCGATATCCTTGCGCTTCGGCGTGCCCTGCGGCTTGCGAGTGCGCTACGAAACATGCGCACGCGAAAACCAAAGCAAAACAAGAAAATACTGCGCGTGCAACGTGTTTCACCGCAAATATTAGATCGAGTAACGAGCTCGTATCAATTTTAAAGGGACGCGCGCGTTTCGCAGACCAGATGTGCTGTTGATGATCAGCGATAATTAATGATAGCTAGATAAAGTGATTCGGGGCTTGAAATGTTATTGTATGTTTATGTGAAATTAAATAAAAATACATTTATATGAAAAATACTCGATTCGTTTTCACGTGTTGCACCACGATTTCGGAGTCACCCTACTCATTGCTTGTTGCCTCAGTATCGAACCAGTCGCTATATAGAACTCATGGTAGATTGAGAATCATAACAGCGCGAGTCAAAAATTTGAGAACCTGAATACAGTTACGTATTTTAACTTCAAAATTTATCGTTGGTTTTATGATCAATTAAATTATTCTCTGCTACCATACATCTTTATGACTTGAAGAAATATAATCAACGTTTTGTGATAATAAACGTAGAACGCTATTTTATGGAAACTAGGCAGTGAACTGACCTACACCATTATGCTTCTTAGCTATATATTAGCTGCATATATTATACACCAACATTCAAACACATGAAATTTGTTGTATCGACATATACAGGGTGGTTGGTAACTAGTGGTACAAGCGGAAAGGGGGTGATTCTACGCGAAAAAAGAAGTCGAAAATATAGAATAACAATTTTTATTTTTTTTTTTAATTTTTCCATCGAGACAACGATCTACAGTGAGAGCCGTTATAACGTACCGCACGCGTACCGAGCGAAAATTCAAAGTCGATTTTCTCGAAAACAAAGCATCAAACGAAAAATTTTTATTCTACATTTTCGACTTCTTTTTTCTCGTAGAATCACCCCCTTTCCGCT